ACCACTGGGGGAAACTGGGTGAAGGTTACAGGGGACCCCTCTGTACAATTTTTGCAACTTCCTATGAATCTACAGTTATTTCAAAATAAAAAGTTAAAAAGATCAGATTGAAGAGGTTACAGCATAGATGGGGACTGTGCCTTGTTTTACAACATTTAATTAATAAGAGAGCACTGTATACTGTTCGGCACGACCTAACCACAGAAGTGGTTTGATTTCTACTGAATAAAACACGTCTCCCTGAAGAGGAGAGAAGAGATGAGCCAAAACTACTGAAGCGTCTGCGTTCATCTGGATTTAGAAGTAAGTCATCCCCCAGGAGAGCCAGTGACTTCTCACGGCCAGTCCTGGGGCAGGGCCCTGGGGGACTGCCGGCTCGGACAGAGGAGAGCAGAGCCGAGCCGGCCAAGAAGGCTGCGCTGGTCTGGGGGGTGGGAGATGCTGCTCTAGTCCGACCCTGTTTGAGACCCACCATGAGCCCCGGGACCCAGGCAACAGGAGCTGGCGTCCAGGCAGCCATCTCGTGGTCCAGGGAGCACTCCCAGTCCTCCGGCTCCATCAGCCACCGCACCGTCCTGAGCAGGGAGCACCAGCTGGAGAATCTCTCCCTGACTTGAGCCAACAGTGGGAATAAGATGAGGGAGGCAGTCGGTGACCTTCATTTGCCCTTTCCTTCTTTTCATCCCGACTGAATAGCGTCCTCTCCCTCTTAATCCGGGTACACACACGCACTTGGGTCAGAATGTGTGTGGCCTGAAGGAAACAAATGGATGCTCTATAAATAACTCAAGCTGTTCCAAAAGCCATTGCAACAACGGCAGGGCTTGAGAACCCAAGAGCCCACAGGGGCTCGACAGGAAAGGGGGAGGGGGGCCCAGGGGCCGTGAGACCCCAAGAGCACCAGCCCCATGTGAGGCAGCAGCCAGCTGCCTGCTCCCTGGGGACCCAGACCTAGCAGGCTGTCCAGCTTCTTCAGACAAGCCAGAGACCAGGGCTTTTATGTGAAACGTACGGTTTTCAGTGAATTAAAGTGTTTAAGACACCATATATGTCAACCACATCTTGCCTGTTTCTACCAGTCCCCACCCCCGTCCCTGAGGAAGGCAAGGACCACCGGAGGACCAAGAGGTCAGCCCACGGCCAGGAGACACCAGCTCTACCTTTGTGGCCCTGGACACCATCGTTTGCTATGAAAACTTGCTTTCAGAGCAACAGAAGCAGAGAAAATGTCATGCTTGCCCGGAGGAAGGAAGGCAACATTGGGGCCGTGGGGGTCTGGACCAGCTCCACCCTCAAGAATGAAAAAAGCAACGTGCAGAGACAAGACGTACTAACATATGAGTCCTCCAACCCCCCGGCTCCCCTCACCCTGCTAATCCCAGAGGGGTGGGCCCTGCTGGCCGAGGCTGGGGCAAGCTGGGGAGCAGAGTGTGGGCCCTGCGGCACCCTCAAGCTGAGAAAACCAGACGGCTGTGTGGACTGTGGTCAGGAATTGGGATGAGGTCGGCTTCACGGTCCTTCAAGAAGCTCAGGTAAATGCGGAATGCCTTTGGGCCACTGCGCTGTGTTTGAATCCATTAAGACCTGCTGAGGCTGGGCCAGGGGCCAGGCTGGGCGCGGGTCTGCTCCCCGCACAGAAATTCTTTCTGTTCTACCTAAGAATGGAAGGCGGAGTTTTCTCCCCATGGTCTGCAAGTCTAGGGGAATTTTCTACAAGATTTAAGCCACCAGGACTTGACCACAGTTCCCAGTGGTGACTGGCTTATAAATGACAACGCCATTCAGGATCGTCAAGGCCAAGCAGGAGCAGGGCAGCTCGCCCCTCCCAGCCAGTCGGGACTCGGGGGGAGGACTCCCGGTTTACTGAAGGGTCGAAGACTGGGGTGGGGAGGGGATGCAGGGTCAGGAAAAGCTAAATTCACAGCTGGCATGGGGCTTGGTCAGGGCTACCTGGAAACCTGGTGGCCCTGCTTGACAGAAGCCAGCTCAGAAAAGTGATTGTCAAGAGAGTCTCCTGGGACAGAATTTTCTCGAAAGAGAACCAGGAGGCAGGGCCAGGCTGAGCAAAGCCTTAGTCATCAGAGCAGCGGCCTCGGCACCCAGGC